CTCTCTCTCTCTCTCTCTCTCTCTCTCTTCTCTCTCTCTCTCTTCTCTCTCTCTCTCTCTCTCTCTCTCTCTCTCTCTCTCTCTCTCTCTCTCTCTCTCTCTCTCTCTCCTCTCTCTCCCCCTCTCCCTCTCTCTTTCAGCCATTCGTGCAAATTGTAATTTGACATTTTCTTGACGCTCGTTTCTCTTCGAACTTCCGCAGGTACCTTCTACCCCGGCATGAAGGTCAACGGACTGGATCTCAGCCCCAATTACTCCGGCACCCTGATGGCGATAGTGAACGGCATAGGCGCCTTCACCGGCATCATCACGCCGTACATCGTCGGCGAACTGGCGCCGCAGCAGACGCTCACTCAGTGGCGGCTCGTCTTCTGGATCGTCTTCGTCGTCTTCATCATCACGAATATCATCTTCGTCGTGTACGCCAGCGGCGAGGTCCAATACTGGAACAATCCAGACTTTATTATACGGGACAGAGAGGAGAGGCAGTTGCGCAAGGCGGGGAAGAAGCAGGCGTCGTTGGAAAAATCATAAAACCGTCACCCTTCCGCGCTTCCCACCTTCACGGCGCCCGACGAGTCGAGCGCTCGCGCTTGACGAACGCGAGGGTTCTTCTTCCGAAAAGAGAAACACATCTCACGCGAACGATTATCCTTTTCGACAGGCGTGTTCTCAAGGCCCGCCTATCGTCCCGCCAACGATTCCCTAAACAAAGATCCGCGTGACGAAAAGAAATAAGATGCACATCGTCATCTCCCGTGCGTTATCCTTGAGTAATGATTTATGCGCGCGGTATTAAGTCGCGCCGCTCAAACGCCGCGAAGACACGAAAATTAACCCGCGCGAGCGAATTTCAGGCGAGCGAGCTTTTTGTTGTAAAAGAAAGAACTGTAGATTAGATTTAATAACGGTTGTATATATTATAAATTATGAACAGTTAGCCCTTGGATGTATTATATATTGAGATTATATGTTACAGTATTCATTTTTCTTTTACAATATTTCCAAGATTTTTTTATCAAGTAAAATAGAAAATAGCAAAAGAGCCGGTTGTTCATGCTAATGGTTTTTTTGTTCTCTTCTGTTTGATTTAGATAGATTTTAAATTGTTAAAGCCTTAATTTTTACTTCTATTAAAATTTTCCTGTTGAGTTTTCTACTTTACAAGCTTAATGATTTATGCATTCAAGCATTGAGTAAATTTAGTGAATTTAATTAGTAATTGCACGATTCATCAGCTTAGTTTCGCCATCATCTCGCGAACGGAGATCGCGAAATAAGGGCGAATTGAAGTAATCGATCTCATCACAGTCTCCGACGATTCAGAAACAAGATTCCTATCGCGAAAGAGCGATTGATCGTATTGGTGAATTATTGATTCATCCCATCACGCACTAGACGCGGTTATTATCAAACGGTTCAGGATGCGAATGCGAAGCTTGTCCCAGAAATGGACGTATTTAATCAACTCTTTCAATTCATACAAATTGATTCACTTTATATAATTAAACAACCGAGCGACAGTTTCGACAAAATCGTCGAAGACCTGCCGACAACCGCAGACTTGATTATGTAACACGCAAGCCGTTTTCTTTCCTCGCGATCGCTCGTTAAATGTTACGCCTAATTACACGCGTCGTCGCATTACCGTTGTTACGTGGAAATGTACTGATTATGCGTGCGCGTGATTATGCGCCTTTTTAACAGTGCGATTCATTCAATCGTATTTTATCGAAAATCGTATGCAAATTGCGCAAAAACAGATGATGCGATATGTAGATACGCCTTGAATTCCGACTACCATACTGTAGATACTAGATATATATATATATATATATCTCTCTTTCTAGTTGTTCAATGATTTGCGAAGTGTGTATTCACGCATCAGATATCGTGGAATGAATTGACGAGTTTTATACTCACTTTCTTATACGTTCTTATCGCATATCTGGCAAGGTTAACAGATGTATATCCTATAAAGATATCGGACAGACATGTAATAAGGCGGTTTGCAATTTAAATCGCTAATTTATGACTTTATAATGTTTTTTACCAGTTTATCAATTCATCAACGATGCGCGGCGCATTCCACAAACTTGTTCCGCAAAATCCAGATCGATCCAGCTCTATCAGGTACTATCCGTTATTGTCATCTTCTTTTCACCGTTCTCTATAGTTTTGCCGAATTTTAGCTGTCCTGATGAGTTGCTGAAAATTTATTTATTATGACAATTAAAGTGTTTTGAGAAAAAATGTAAATAAAAACATCAAAAAAAAATTTATCTCAATAAAATCACGACGCACTGCATTTAAAAGCATATCCAAAGATGTCAACATTTTTTACCAGCAAAACCAATCGTACGCATTTGATAAAAGACGACAGTATTGAAGGTCAAAAGATATATTTCGTGGTTTTACGTGAACAATTAAGTATCGAATTAAGTATGCGAGATAAGCGCAAGAAATCAAATTAATTACTGTTGAGCGATTAATATCGAATTTTGATTAAATATTTTGGAAACTTTTATGACTGGCCTATATATTTATTACATAACAAAATAATTAAAATTAATTGCTGGCGTCATATCTATATTTTAAAACAAAATTGAAACATTTTCATGTTATGTTATGGATTTTATCTCTTTAAAGTCTGCAATCGCTCTTGATGTTCAATTTCCTGACATTTGCATGCTGCAATGAAGGTTTGCAAGGAGCGCATTGCGTGCATTACGTTAATGACAATCGGATGGTACAATAGTCACCCGCTATAATTATCTTACTATCCGATTTTTAACTTTACACAGGTGGTATTTTGCGAAATAAACGTTGATTAGCCGACACATCTGTAGAGCGTATTTTTCTACGAAAAACATCAAGCATTGGAAGTATTAAATATTGGAAACACGTTTTTTGTAATTGCAAAAATCAGTTAAAGCGCTTAGTAATATTGATCAGTTCTAGATATTTTTAATACTTTTTTTTCTTTTTCTTTCTTTTCTATAAATTTATATTTTTAAAATTTTTTAAATGCTACAAAATTATTTTACACGCAAATGTGTGCTGATAATGCTCAAGGTATGTACAATAAATAGTAGAAACGCATAAATTTTAGATAAACGTAATTTTTAAAGCGTGCGTGTAATCGCAAAAAACGCAATTGCATACAGTCGGCAAAAAATGTATTGCATAATAGAATCATTTGCTTTAATTACATTTTGTACACTGTGTTCCTTTTTTCACCTCCTTCAAAAGCCTGAATAAACAATATAAATAATATATGCACATCTCACAATAATAACTATAAATATTTCACTCTACATGTAAAAAATGCAATTAAAACAAATAATATCTATGCTATTAAAAATGTTACGTGGCTATAGTTTTCATTTTATATCAAAATTTTCCGTTTTTTCTAATATAAGAATCACTATCATTCCAAGAGAAGTTGATCTTAAAGATATCTTGATAATATTATAGGCTTCTTTAAAATATATATATATATATATATATACGTATATAAATGACATCTTTTATCTCATTCATTTTCAACTTGATAAATGCATACAGAACAGATAGCAATTTTGTGTACATTCTATATAAAGATGCAACGTTCTATAAATATGCAAAGTGCATTGTAATATTTATGACTGGAGATATTTCTGTGCAAAATTATATTTATATATATATATATGTGTATGTGTAAAACAATAAGTAAAAAAATTTACATACTACACCTTGTGTGCTAAGAAGTAAAAGAGATAAAAAAACAACGGAAAGCAGATCCTTGTTGGCACATTCCAATCTATATTCATATATGCAAGCATATTATGCGAGCGTTTTTTATGCAAAAATTCTTCATGAGCTTTTTATATCACATCCGATAGTTGTTTATGTAAAACTGCATATGTAATTTTTTCAACAATATAATTTTTTCCAGATATCTAGTATTTAAAATAAAAATGATAATTATTTTATATTATCCTGCGCTCTATTTTTTAAATTATAGGTTTACAAACTAAATGGTTCCATAAAAGCGTTTCATAAATATAAAATTTTTTATAACTTGCAAATTTTGCTTATTGCAGGTCTGTAATATGTAGAAAAGATACTGCGGAATGATATTGATAATTGTTACGCTGCACATATTATAAATAACGGAATTTGAATAAATCTGGTAAAAATATCTAGAATTAACGAAATGCTCAAGAAAAAATGTCTTAATTCATGTCATTTAGAATTTTAGGTTATATTGCACCTAATCGCTTCCTAAAAAGTTGTATTAATGCAAAAACAACAACAATAACAAATATAAAATAAATATAAAATAGTTTGCTCTAATACTCTAGAATAAAATTCGCTATTGTATAATATTAAATGTATGATTATTACATTAATTACACATTTCATAACGATTAAAAGTTATACTTTACCTTTTACTTTATTTTTGAATGTAAATAAATCTAACGTATAACAACTAGTCTCGATTGATACAAACAAAACGTTACATTATCGACGGCAAATAAAGCAGTAATCTAACTTACTCATAACCTAATCTTACTGTTCAATCTTGTTCTGTTACATCAGAATCCTTCAAAATGAAAATATTGTAAATATATATAAGAGAAAAGAAGATCTGGGCACACGATGTCAAGCACATCACCGAGAGTATGGCGATTTTTAGAGTGTGATAATAATTTAATTCTGTTATCTTTTATGTGACATTTCATTGCAGATATCGGATTTCACTTGTTACTTTGAATCGATGCTTTCGGCACAATCGAATACTTGCCAATTATGAACGCGGAATACGATGAGGATCTATCGGAGAATCAATTTCTGCAGGAACTCAGGAATGAGTATGAAGCTACGCTTGAGCGAGCCATCCACGAGAGCTGGATCATCTGCATTCCACGCAGTAGAAGCTTTGTCAATCGCAAATTCGAGGAAGATGAAGTTAATGCTCACATTTTGATACCCAGACAGGATCTCTCCGTCGGTCGATTTGACAGTCTGAGCGGCAGAGAGATCCGTCTCTTGGATAAAGTCCTGACTATCAAGTACGACGATGCTGAACAATATTCTTCGCGTTTACTTTTTGAGGAAATTTTCTATAGCAAGGATCTGCGTAAATATTGCATATGGTAAGCACGTATTTGATTTGCTACTGCTCCTAAAAATTGATTAATATTAGAGAGAGTCAAAAAGTAAAAAGCTTTTTGATTTTCGAATTAAAAGAATATATATATATACTTAAAAAAAGTAATTTTTTGTAAATAAAATTAATGATAAGTTGTGATTTTTAGGTGCATAGAACGACCTTTGGAAGCTAGTATGTATGTGTCAAACAACAGTGTAAACGTAATTACAAATCTCCAGGAAGCCATGAATTTTCTCCAAGCAGAACTACTCGACAAACAGCTCCGTGATGACTTTGAGGCCAAAATCAAAGATTTCTTATGCATTAACAAGAACCTGGAAGGCAAATCGATGGAAGTACAGAGAGATGTAGTGCACGAATTGTATGCAGATTGTATGGCAACATTATTGAAAAATACTACATTGAGAGAGAAGATTTCGGATGACAAGCATTATCACTGGAACATCAGAGTGTCGTTAGAGACATATATTCTATATGCATTGAGAAACGTGCTGCTGAGATCATTGTCCGCTTGTACCATCGTAGAAGACGCCTGCTTAAATAAGATCATCAGAAATCTAGACGAGATCCAACTGAGTGATCTCAGAGTACGGTCGGATTTACAATCTCGCGTTCATGGTGGAAAAATAGAACTGTCGCGATTGGACTGCCTCGTGACTGTGTTGGGTAAGATCGAGTGTCTTAGAAGAACAGTAAATTACGTGTCGCGCGGCACGTCGTCCGTCTCGTCGGACGATCTTTTACCGGTGCTTGTATTTCTCATCATCAAAGCTGGTCTACCGAACTGGACGGCGCAGTTATACTTCATGAGACACTTCCGTCTTTCTATGAATTCCGCTCACGAGACGGACGAAGCCGGTTTTCTGATAACGTCACTGGAAGCTGCGATAGAGCACATCAAATCCGAAACGATCTGCAACGGTGACAAATGTGCGAATAATTCAGACATGTACGGTCAATTGATAAGTCAATCGGAACGCTCGTCCATTAATTATCTGTTTGCATGTATCAAGAACGGCAATCTGTCCGAGGTTGAAAGGATATTGGCCTTCAACGGGACCAGCCAGGCCGACGACGTCGCGCTCTGCCATCCTTTATGCACCTGTGCGTCCTGCGAGCGAAACTGGGTGAAGCATCGAGATCTGAACGTATATTCCAAGGACGACAAGGGTTTGACGCCGCTGCACGTCGCGGTGCAGTACGATCAGATAGTGATCGTGGACTTCCTTCTCGACCGCGAGATGGATATAAACGCCGCCGACTCGGATGGCCTGACGGCCCTTCATCACGCGTGCATCAAGGGCCATCAGAACATTCTACTGCTGTTGCTGCATGCAAACGCGAATCCTACGGTGACGGACTCGCGAGGCAACACGCCGCTGCACCTGACCGTGGACCGCGGTCACGAGAGCTGCGTGAAGGCGCTGCTGTACCTGTCGGAACACATTAAGGTGCCGGTCAATGCGAACGCCGCGAACGACAACGGCGATGCGCCGCTGCATCTTGCTGCCCGTTGGGGCTATTGCGCGATCGTTCGCATTCTCTTGGAATACGGCGCGAACTGCGGGCTGAGCAATAAGAAAGGCCAGACGCCGCTGACGGTGACATACAGCGAGAACATCGCCGAGCTACTCAGATGCGACACAATGACGGGCGGTATCTCGCCGCAGCATACCCTTGTGAAATCTCGTCGGTCCTTTCACCAACGTCACTGGACCGCATCTGACAGCAAAGATTCGTCGCATTCTAAGAGCTACGCCAGCGCGATGCAGCACCGCATGATGGACAAACTGCTCGCCGCTATAGTCGACGGTGACATATGCCTGGCGTGTTATTACTTGGGGCTGGAAGTCTATCGCGAACGGCCGCCAGGTGTTCGCGCAAGCCTGTGTCATCATCCACTGTGCGACTGCGAGCGTTGTTCGGCGATCGGCGAGTGCAAGCTAGAGCGCAAGGGCCGGCAGCGCGTGCTCACGATCAACGCCTGCAACGACCTCGGCGAGACGGCGTTGCACGTGGCGAGCACGACCGGTCGCACGAAGATGGTGCAGCTGTTGCTGGACGCCGGCGCGAATGTGAACGTAGCGACCAAACCGGATGATCGCACCCCGCTGCATCTGGCCTGCTTCAACGATCGCATCGACGCGGCAAGACTGTTGCTCAACTGTGCGACCTGCGACGTCGACGCGAAAGATCACAACGGCGACACGCCGTTGCATCTGGCGACCGTTGCCGGCAACGAGAAGCTCGTCGCCCTGTTGATTAGATACGGCGCCAACACCAACGCCCGCAATTTGCAGAACAAGACTCCGCTGACGCAAGTGGAGGAAAAGCTTACCGTCGCCTTCCGCGCAAATTATGCCAACATACTGAAGATCCTGAAACAAAATTCCGCGCAGTCAGCTGGCGATTAATTGATATACAAGCCGTTCGGCTTATACGTTAATTAATTTTTCTCTACTTACCTCATAGATTGTGTCTTGCTCTTGAAGTAACTTAACGTATTTCTCCAAGTGATATTCTATTTCATATTCCATGCAATTGATGGAGAAGAAATGTATATTTTTTTTTTACTACTTGTACCAGTATACTGAAGATTCCAAAGCAATACTCTGCACAAACGGAAAGCAATTAATTTCTATTCTAGGATTAAGAAGTTATTTATTTTTTTTCGTACCATGTATTTTTTTATATATGGTAGCTTGCATGAATTGTCAGGAAAAATATATATAAAGATATATAATATAATTCTAACATAATTTCGTCCATTGTGATTTAGTTCTGTCTAAAGATTGAGTAATGAATCAAATTACAATTTTAAAACTAGATTTCATGTAAAATGTCTCAAAATATGTCTCAAAGCTCTCTCTTATGAGATTGTTTTTTTTTTAAGAATTGCTCGTACAATTTCTATACGTAATACAAATTGTATATGTAATATCGTATAATGAATGAGCAATATTAGTGTGATAACAATATTATTAATTAAGAGATGAATGAGTGCAATTGTATAATTAGTCAGATTAGTTTTATATATTTTATATATAATTGAGAGAATTGTAGAAAAATATATATATTTAAAGCAGTGACATTCATAACTTATTCGTTTTGTATGAAACAAAATATATGCATATATGAATTCCTACAATTTCTATTTTATTTGTGTAATTTAGACACTCTGCCTTGAAAATAAGAAAAATGTGAGTGTAGCTTTGCCATCATTAATCGATACTGGTGAACATTTATCATGTTAGTTTTAATCAGTAATTCCGTGGTAAATGCTAGAAAATAATTACATTGCGTGTAGCATTAGTTAATAAAACAAATTGCAATTTACGTTAATTATTACGTAAAGTGATAAAAACATTTTAGCGATAATACGAATAATATGAAAACAATTTAGCCAGTTTAACCTCCAAATGCGTCAGCTGACGAGTAAGAGAACGATGTGCAATTGAACTTTTCATCGCGAAATTTCTAAAGAAGAAGGATATTTGACAAGCAATTTTGCAAAAAATTGAAATTAAATATTTAAAGAAATTTTTCGAATTGATTGTTGTGAATTGACGAAACAACAGGTAAGATTATTCATATTAGTTTCGATATTTGTTGGTTATCTCACCGGTATTTGTTTGTCACCGCGAGTATTGCATCATTAAGATTGGTCTTGTAATTATTTCACTAACTGGCATTCCTAATTCATTTTCCCAAGTATTCGCTATTCTGAAATTCGCATTTAACTTCTTCTTTTACATAATACAGATTTTTTTCTCTCAATGTAGAGATGAATATTATTATATTTTAAAGTGGAATGTCTGTCAGTGATCATGTATGCTGTTGTCAAAGATTTTGATATAATTTAAATCGATTTACAATTATTCAAGAGAGATTGGTAAGTATTGTTATATCTAAAACATTATTTGAGGCTGTCATCTCTTCTTCTCTCTCTCTCTCTCTCTCTCTCTCTCTCTTCTCTCTCTCTCTCTCTTCTCTTCATATTATTCTTAGCATAAAATTCATAATCTTTAATTGTACAGTTGACATACTGCTTATGCTATTTTCAGATACAATTTGTCGCCCTGCTACTTCAAAATTGAGACACCAAAATGCTGAGGCTATTGAAATTATCAAGAAGCTCTCCTTTAAGGAACACAGCTTTGCAGCAGTATCTCACAAGTCGTACTATTCATTCGTCGACAAACGCTGCATCGAGTGCTTTGCCCTCGAAAAGGCAACAGGTGCAAGATGAAGTGAGTAAATTCAAGAAGGGCGAAGTTCTTCACGGCTTTATGGTGGACGAGGTGTCAAAGATAGACGAATTATTCCTTACTGCGGTGAGACTGACGCATATGAGCACAGGAGCGCAGTATGTGCACTTGGCCAGAGACGACACGAACAACGTATTCTCTATTGGATTTCGCACGACTCCCATGGACTCGACAGGGCTGCCGCACATTCTGGAGCACACCACTTTGTGCGGCAGCGAGCGGTATCCTTGCAGAGACCCGTTCTTCAAGATGCTGAGGAGATCTCTGGCGACGTTCATGAACGCCATGACCGGTCCGGACTACACCATATATCCGTTCTCAACGCAGAACCTGAAGGACTACCGCAATCTGCAGTCGGTTTACTTGGACTCCGTCTTCAAGCCGAATCTGCGCGAACTGGACTTCCGGCAGGAGGGCTGGAGGCTGGAGCACACGGACGTCAACGATCAGAGCTCGCCTGTGATATTCAAAGGTGTGGTTTTCAACGAGATGAAGGGCGTCTTCAACGACAATCAGGCGATTCTGGCGGAGCGTCTGCTGAATTCCATTCTGCCGAGCCACACGTACTCCGTGATCTCCGGTGGCGATCCTCTCGTCATACCGAATCTGCAGTACGTCGATCTTCTCAACTTCCACGCCAAGTACTATCATCCCTCGAATTCGCGCTTCTACTCGTACGGCAATTTCCCGCTGGAGGAGCACCTGAAGTTCGTCAACGATCGGTACCTCTTCTTGTCCGATAGAATAGACGCTTCCATGTCGGAAGTGCCGGCGGAGAAGCGTTGGAGTGAGATCAGGAAGGAGCATGTGGCGTGCAGGCCGGATCCGCTGCTCGCGGACCCCAGCAGAAACGGCACCATCGCCATCGCGCACCTGTGCAACGACATCACCGACATACAGACGACCTTCGAGATGTACGTGCTGTCGCAGCTGCTGCTCAGAGGCCCGAACTCGGCGTTCTACAAGTCTCTAGTCGAGTCGAATTTAGGCACCGGCTTCGGACCGGTCACCGGTTACGATTCGCAATGCAGAGACACGATGTTCATCGTGAGCCTGCAAGGCGTGAAGCCTGAGAACTTCGAGAAGGTGGAGAGTATCTTCGACAACACCGTGCGGAAAGTCATCGAGGAGGGATTCGAGAAGGATCACGTTGAAGCCGTCCTGCACGGCATCGAACTCCAGGTGAAGCATCAAACGTCCAACTTCGGCCTGAACTTGCTCTTCAACCTGACGTCACTGTGGAATCACAACGGCGACTTGGTGCAAGCGTTGAGGATCAACGAAGCGATGAAGGAGCTCACGTCGCGGATGAGAGAGGATCCCAAGTACTTGCAGAGCATAATCGAGACTTATCTCGGAAACAACAAGCACAGGTTGACGCTAACGATGTCGCCCGACGAGCAGTACGAGCGAAGTAAAGCGCTCGCCGAGCAGGAATTGTTGAAGACGAAACTCGAGGAGCTTTCCACGGCGGAGAGAGAGCAGATATATGTTAACGGAAAGATCCTGCTCGCCGAGCAGCAGAAGAAAGAGGACGTCGGGGTCCTGCCGACGCTAAAGATAGACGATCTGAAGGCCGACGTGGAGAGATACAAAATGTCTGATTTGCAAGTAGCTGGCGTGCCTGTTCAGGTGTCCGTGCAGCCGACGAACGGCGTCTCCTATTATCGAGGAATACTCAACACGCGGGAGCTGCCGGCCGAGCTGAAGCAACTGATACCGCTGTTCAATTACGTCGTCGCGAAGATGGGCACGCGGAACTACGACTACAGGAGCTTCGACCAGATGATGCAGCTGAAGACCGGCGGTCTGCACTTCTCGAATCACGTCGCCGAGCACAAGGAGAGCGAGCTGCGATACGAGGAGGGCATCCTCGTGGACTCGTACTGCCTGGACCGCAACTCGAACGACATGTGGACGCTGTGGACGGAGCTGTTCAACAACGTCAAGCTGACCGACCTGCCGCGTTTCGAGACGCTCGTGAAGATGAACGCGGCCGACTTGATCAACGGCGTCTCGCACGCCGGCCACTTGTACGCGATGAGCAGCGCCGCGAGCCTGGTCTCGCCGGTCGCGCGGGCCAAGGAGAGCCTCTCGGGGCTGCAGTACGTGGCGAGGATGAAGAGAGTGGCGCAGATACGCGATCTCACCAGTTTGATGCACAGTATGCAGGAGATAGCCGACGGCGTCCTGAACAAGGAGCGCCTGCGATCGGCCGTCAACCTGTCCGAGGAGCGCAAGGACAGCGTTCTCGACGGCATCCGCGCATTCTACGAGTCGCTGACGGGTCGCCCGGAGAATTCCCACGTCATCACCAGCGATCGGAGCGCCGAGACCAGGGAAAGCGGCAACCACCACGTGCTGCCGTACACGGTCAACTATTGCTCGAAAGCCATCCTGACGGTTCCTTACACGAATCCGGATTACGCCGCGTTGCGCGTGCTCTCCAAGCTGATCAGCTCGGTGTACCTGCACCCGGAGATCCGCGAGAAAGGCGGGGCTTACGGCGGAGGCGCCAAACTGACGTCGGAGGGAATCTTCTCCTTCTACTCGTACAGAGATCCGAACTCCACCCGCACTTTCGACCTGTTCGACAAGACGTACGACTTTTTAATCGGGTACGCGCTGCCGCAGAGCGACATAGACGAAGCGAAGCTGGGCGTCTTCCAGCAGATCGACGCTCCCGTGCCGCCCAGCAATCGCGGCATGACGAGATTCACGCACGGCATCACGGACGACGATCTTCAGAGACAGCGGCAACAGCTCAAGAGCGTGACCAAGGAGCAACTGCTGCACGTGGCTGCCAAGTATCTAAAGCCCGACCAGGACGGCGCCAGAGTCGGCCGCGCGCTTATCGGACCTGCGAATCCCGACATCTCGAATAGGCACACGGAAAATTGGCTGGTGCTGAATCAGGAGGAAGCGGATCAAGCGCGAGCTTCTGAATAAATGTTACTTATTTTTGTTACCTTCATAACGAAGCGCGTTTCGCTTTACGTTCAACTGTGCAAACCGTGTCGTCAGGCGTAGCATTCCAACTACGTTTGATATGTTTACAAAGTATTAGAAATTGATAAAATAGCGTTACTCAATGATATATTTGTTAAAAATTGTAATTTATGCTATTTTGTATAATAAAGATGTGTCCCCGGCAAAAGGGATGTAAAAAATAAGTGCTGCTTCATCAATCTTCCTGATTTTCGTCCTGTCCCTGTCGAATCGCCCATGTCCACACACTTGAAGCACGTAAAAATATATTTTTTTTCTTAAACAGATGGACGTCGATGCTGAAAAGAAATACTTTTTCGAAGCGTTGTGCTTATTTCACGAAACGCAGTGGCTTCACAATATACCTGTAATCGAGATATTGACTCGAGCGTCTTTGGACGCAATTCCTAAAGAATGGATGGAGCACTTGCAAACTTTGGAAAATGACGAACTCAATAATTTCGTGGTGGAAAAAACAATAAAGGTAAATAAAAAAATATTCTACAAAGAAATTATTATTGTGATTGTTGAGACAAATTGCTCCACATTTTAGTCGGAATGGCCGGATTCGTTGAAAGCATATGTTGACAAATGCGAAAAAATCAATAGGCTGCCGCTCGTACCTGCGTTACCATCCATAGAATTGCCGCAAAGTTTCAGGACGGGCCTCAGCCTGAAGAAGCAACACGAAATAATGCATTTAGCCCACTTAGTGCACACGCAATGCAAATCGCACGATGTACAGACGATTATTGATCTGGGCGCAGGTTTGGTACGCTTTTGAAGATCGAAAACGTCAAATTTCCTCTCTTATACTGCAATTATTATTGTATAATTATTATTGTATAATTTTTTTCTAGGGATACGTATGCCAAATGTTACATTGTCTGCACGGTTATCGAATCCTGGGACTGGAAAGAGACAAGGAAAATGTTGACAGAGCTTGCTATAGACAGGAAAAATTATATTCCGATTCGTTGACTAAGATCAAATACGTCCAGTGCGAAGTGACGTGCGACTCCGCCGATGCGATAGAATCCATCTTGCAGCGAGAGTTTCCCGGCGTTACGGATGCATGTTTAATTGGGCTGCACGCCTGCGGAGATCTCAGCACAAGCGCATCGAGAGTCTTCTGCGAGATGAAATCTGTTAAACTCCTCGTCCTGATCTCCTGCTGTTACCATAAACTTTCGATTTCCAAGAGTGTGCAGACTCCGTTGCGGGAGAAACAATACTTCCATAACTTTCCTACGTCTAATTGTCTGCGAGAAACAATCGCGACGTACAATCTTGACATCGGCCAATTCTTAAGAGCACCCTTCTTACGATTGGCGTGTCAAGAATCGGCGGACAAGTGGCGCGGCATGTCCGAAGAGAAGCACAACGAGCATTCCTTTCACGTTCTCGCCAGAGCCGTGCTCGAGTTGTATTCGCGTCAAAGTAAGTGCTCGATATAACATGATTTATGTATAAAATCTGTAAACTGATATATTTTAGACAATCTCATTCTCAAGAAAAAGGTTCGAAAAGGCACGAGAAAGTCACAGTGCTCGAATTTTCAAACTTACATCAAGGACTCTCTATTAAGATACGATTTAATGTCGAATATTGCACCAGGCGCGAAGTTAACAGGTAATTAACATTACGATAGATCTATACTACTAATAATTTACATAATTCACACAAGCATCTTTATACGAAAGGTAAAATATCCACGCGCGACGAATTAGAGAAAAGCATAACACAAACTTGGGAAGAGCAGAATGGAAAGTTAAGATCGGTCGAAATTTATACTGGATTGCAAATGATGCTGCAACTTCCGGCGGAATCATTGATTCTACGAGATCGACTGTGCTGGTTGCACGAACAGGGCTTGCAAGCCGTCATTGTGCCTGTGATGAACAAGTGTGTGTCCCCTCGTTCGTACGCGATCGTGTCTCATAAACGCTGAAAATGATCAATTATATATTTTGATAAATAAAAAGTATAAATAAAACATAATTTGTACAAAACAATTTGTAATTATCATTAATGTAATTGTTAAAAACAATTGAAGTCTAATTAAATTAATAACGTTATTAAAAAGAGAGAATACACTCGCAATTTTGTACAATTTTATTACGTTTTGTATGAAAATTTAGAAAGTTAGGAACATACCAGTGGCCGAATTGTAATCGATCATTACGTAAAATCCTATACATGCATTATGCACTTCTTATCTATAAGGGTGAATTTGTGATGCCGCTTTGATATTCGTTTTTATTGCACTCGGCGCCTTGTTCATCTGACCCACTGTAAAATATTAAAATTACTATAAGTCATCATAATTGCGGGGAAGACGAAAATCTTCGGAAAAGTACTCACTCGGTTGATTACCCATCGGTCCTTGTCCCTGTGTCTGCTGTTGACCACCAGGTCTGCCTACCATCATGCTGTTTGTCACTGAATTCACGCCAGATTGAACCATTTGCATAGAGTCTGACTGCACATACAAAACACAAACGGTACATTAGAACCGATAAAAATATCTGAAGAAAAATTATATCTGTCTAAAGACAAAGGCGCGGCTAGATTTACTTTTACATTGTAACTTACTTTCAAACCTTTACCCAAGTACACAGCAGCCAAAAGGGCAGCAGTGTCCGTAGCGTTGCTACTCGGTGGTTGCGTCGCTCTGGCTCCAGCCTCGCTTTCCCATTCTTCGCGCGCTTTGTTCGCAATATCCCACACGTGGCTAATTACCTTTGTATATTGCGTAAGTTGTTTCTGAAACCCAACAGAAGCATGCAGAAGACTTGGTAAGTGACAGGATCAGTGTGTTCCACTCGCTAAATGGACCGTTCAGAAATCTCTGACTGCGTAGCGAATGTAATTTCAGACATTGAACATCTATAGCTAGGTGTAGCTACAAGTAGGCTTGCGACACAACATCAATCTCAGCCCAAAGCGAATGGAACCGACAAAGCTGAAATTATCTGATTAGCAGCTTACATTGTAGTCCTAGTTGTTGTTTAGTTAGCACATTAACAGAAAAATAAAACATCTTCAATTAGCTTTGATGTGTCCTAATAGATACTACATACATATTTAATTGTGATCAGATATAGCCTTAAACAGTTTCAGTTGTCACATCATTTGTAACATCTTTATCACTCTGACATTCTCAAAATTGGTTTCTAACCATCTTAAGAAAGGGTTCAGTATTAAATCGAACGAAAAGTGTAAATACAAAATGTATATCTTACGTGTGAAGTATCCATGTTAACAGTCGCAGCCTTGGCTTCCAACTGCATCATCTTCTGCTCAGCTTGAGGCTCCAGCTTTGTCCTCAAGTAATCTGGTACCAAGTCGTGTGCGAACGTGGGAATCCTACCCTCAGTCAGTCGAAGCAGGTCGTCGTCCTTCTCCGGACTCAGGCGTAGAGGCAAAACTGTTAGATTCCTGAGATTCGGTGCTTTGTCGTGTCCGAGAATCTTTGACAGACTAGTCAGCTGTAAAATACAAGGTGTATATTGAAATGCAATGTAATGATTAAATTAAATGGTTACATCATACAAAATTGTTATCTTAGCATTCATTATTATACAATATAAGCAAGTTAATAAAGCGGGATATTTACATGGCCTGAAATGAGGGCGAAATTGTCGAGAAAATTCGGCCAGTTTAGAGTTTCGTATTCGTGCTCAAGCTTGAATATCATAGCAGCGATCGAGGTCTTCAAGTCGTTCACTCGCATTATAATGGCCTCCAAAGCCGAATCCAACTGCTTCTCTTCTCTCTGCATCGCGTAATTTTGTTTGTAATATAAAATATAACAGATGCAAATTTACTTCCACTGTGTCACTCTCGTTGCCTTTAAGCACGTCCTCTCACATGTCACAAATTGACACTCAAATTGGCACTCAATCGATCGATTAGTCAGCAATATTAATTTTCTCATTCAGAAAGCATAATGATTGTGTGAGCGTTAAATTAACGGACACTGAACAAATAATTGCTTTCTAACTTCGTTTAACTTTTTATTTCAATCATAATCGAGAACGAATCACGCAAATCACCGGCGCAATTTGCGCAATAAAAGAAAGGTTAGGAGACGCATGCAGAGGTGCTGCATTCTGTTCATTTGCTGGAGTAATATATGATACTTTTCAAAAAAATTGTCGTATATATTAAATCTTTCAAAAAAACCTATATATTAAATAGTATATATTAAATCTTTCAAAAAAAACTATCAGGAAATGGCACCAAGTGGGACTAAAGAACTATGAAAAAACTTGTACACTATTTCTATAAAACTCTTCTATAAAACTCTTGTACATAAAGCTGTCGTATATATAATTAATTATATTATATACTGTATTTTATCATAAAATATAGTATATAAATAAAAATATTTAATAAAAATTTAAAGATTTAATAAAAAATAAAATATTTAATTAAAAAATTAAAAATAATAAAAATTTAATCAAATAAAAAATATTTATTAAAAAACGCAAAAAAACTTGGCGCTGCTACACCACAAAGTATTATAAAGCAATAAAGTAATGAAATTAACATGTAATTTACTGTAGCAGCGCA